AGAGTTGAGGACACTGGAAAAACAAAACAAAACAAAATTGAAATGCCACAAGAGCAAGAATAATTGTTATCATCATTCACAGTAAACTACTCTCCCCCCTCATTCTCCCCAGATGTTCCAAGCTCTCCTAATGAGCCAGTGCTCAGAGACATTCAGTCCAGCCAAGTGACTGTGACATGGAAAGCCAGTCCCAACGACAACAACAGTCCAGTCAAGGCCTACATTCTTTCAGTGAAGTAAGACTTTTATTGTCACTGTGACAAGACAATTGAGCAACTTCAAAGTTGTGAAACCGCCTTCTGTGGTGTAGTGGGTAGGCAGGCGCTTTGCTGTTGCTTTTGGTTTGGTGTTTCACACATACACATGCACAGCGCACACGCATACGCACGTACGTATTCACACCCATACACAGACACTCGAAAACATCCTCTCCTCCACACATATTTTGTGCTCATAAACATAATAATATGCTTGCTCTAAAAAAAAAAAAGGCTCTCAGTCACATGCATTGTGTTGATGCAGGCTTAAAACGCCCCTAAATTAAAAAAAATAAAATAAATGTGACTCACTCGCTCATTAAAGCAGGGTTGAATGGAGTTCAGCATTTTTGCCTATGGTGTTGATGAATTCATCAAATCCATTAAATCTTGAATGTCATGCGCAATTCAAAATGGTTTCGTTTTTATGGGTGTCAGGCTGTACTTTTGGCGCATGACTAATTTCTGCATTGTAAAAGTTATGGTGATGGGTAGTTGGTGGGTGCCCTGGTGTGGTTTGCTCCTTCTTTCATATCGGACATCTGTTGTCCTAATCTCCCCTCCTTTGTTTATGTTGGTTTCTCTCTTGTAACACTTCTAAGTCTTTGGCACTGATTTGACCAAATTGTGTTGCAAATGTCGTACTTAAAATGCTTTCTAAAAGAAGACAAAGTTTGTGGTCTATGTTACTTGATTGCTTGTATTGGGCTAATGGTCATATTATTATGTGTTGACTATGATTTGCTTCGTTTTGTGTTTGATGTTGACTATGATTTGCTTCGTTTTGTGTTTGATGTTGACTATGATTTGCTTCGTTTTGTGTTTGATGTTGACTATGATTTGCTTCGTTTTGTGTTTGATGCATGTTGTTTGAGGATGCCTGTGACCAGTGGCGGTGGGTGGACCAAAACTTGGGTGGGGCTTAGGTTGCTTCCAGCTCTCTACCACCAAATAGCAAGCAATAAGAATTAAACAGTGATGATTTTTCTATACCCACGATGAGCCACGTCAGTTTGAGAACCA